CAGAAATTAAAGGATCATAGAGACAGAAAAGTTTTACGCTCATGATTATTGGAGAAACTTGAACAAATACAGGAGTTTTGTTGGCTGGGTTTACCAGTGCTCGATGAATTTGACCCACTCCCACTCCACCCACGAAGTCACCGCAGAGACGTGAGGAATGACGCCTGTCGTCCGCGCACTCCGAGAGGTTCTCTAAATTGAGAATCTCGGAAACGATGAGTAGATATGTTGCAAGAGGTGATAAAAGATTGAGACACAATTTTCAGCATGAGTAATACATATGGCTTAGCACTAGCGTATCTTAGTAACGACAGGCGAGGTAAACTACACGCATTCTAATTATCTCCCCCGATAGTTTCATCACTTACGTTCATGATAAAAACGCGGTTTGCTCACACTTTTCCGAGAGTATCTATATACCCAACTGTCTTCAACAACTTCGGAAACACTGCAAGTGTGGGGTTGACATCTTTCCGCGGATAGATCTCCACAGCCATTGTACCAATGTAGCGAGTCAAGTATAGTGTGCGGGGCGTAAAGTGGGACAATCTCTATCTCTCATCTGTTTTAACAACACGAACTCATCTTTACTGCGTTATTGATCAAAAATCATCCCAGAATCTCTTCTGAATGGGATAGATATGACGGTACAGTGTGCTAATGTAACGTGTTTGGACTATTTCACGTTTATTGGTGCACTCTTACATTTGAACAATTGAATGTTAGGGTATTGAATATCTGGAATTGTAAGATTCGCAATCGATCTCTCCTCAACAACAAGACAACCGAGCGAACTTGCATATGCTCGTCATCTATATGCATCTACAGATCTGCGTGGCTATCTCTGCGCGAATAACTCCAAGATATATACGTTCACTCCTAAGACCTCATGTTCTCCAATGAAAGACGTCACTCGATATACATCGAAAATAGTCCAACACAGTACCATTAGCACATCTTCTTCCCGTCATGATCTCTTCACTGTCCATCATACTTTACAGAACGAGATATCTGGGATGATTTTTTGATATCTAAGCAGAAAAAGGACGTTTTATACAAAATCACAACATGAGTCCGACATCAACCTATGCCCATACATGTGGAATATCTGGTATCTCCGGGGGCCGAATAGTCAACCAACCCGATTCCGAATGTTGAGACATTTGGTTCAAATTCTAAACAGAGACAAATACAGTGTTTTCTCAACATCGATGAAAGGTGGGAGATAATTAGAATCCTTGTTTGCATCTTGTAATAAACATAATCACAGCTTTCTATCTATAATTCTGAGCTTACTCTGATGACAAGTACTACATTCACTAGAAAACAAGTGCCCCCTATCCCCAGGCGCGCCGACATGCGCTCACTTCGCTCACCGTCTACTCCGCGAGTGACTCTGTGGTGGATCGTGGTGGGATTCTCAAGAGACAGCCCCAAAAACTCCCTGGTTATGCTCAAAGTTTCTCCTATCCTCGGGATTTTGCTCCCTTAATGATTGCCAGCTTTGAAATCACATGCAAACATCTGCAAGGTAAAATGTGTAAAAGAGATAACTTCACAGCACACATTTTCGTAGCCAACAGATTTTGCCCTCAGACTTCACTAATTTATCACATTTCAGGCAAGATCAAGTGTCACGTAATAAAATCAAGAAAGCACAACATGCAAGTTGGGTCCAGATACCACAAGATTTCCACAATGCAATCTGTACAGTCTAGTACCATGCGAGTCCAGGATAATTTAGGCCTATATTTATAGAAAAGCACTCCAGCCTTGCGCTACACATTACCGGTCAACATTGGTCTTGTGGAGACCAAAATCGAGGTGACAATGTCCACGTCCCCCCCTAGGTCAAATACTGCCAGTCTCGCGTTTATTATTTTTACCGAGAAAAGTAACCAAAATTGCCCATACAGATAAGAAACTTGGGTTCCTGTGTCCTGTCATAATATTCAGTCGAAAAATACTATATACTATACCCTAATAGTATAGCCACAAAATATATAGGGTCTATTTTTGTTCCTGATGACTCAAAAACAAGACCAAATAACAACAGAGAATCTTCACGTAGCAACAGTGCGATAATTCCACATATCAGCCCAGTAGCTGTTTTGTAACCTTAGGAGCAGCTGGGCCATGCTCTGTGCCGAATTCATCACGCCCAGGCAGGCCGTTGGGTAATCTGCGCCCCTCTCCACAAGTTCTGTAGATACTCTCCTCCAAACACCCTCGGCTTGCAAGTTCTGGAGATTGTCCTGCATAGATCTTGTATCCGATGTAACTATGGTGTGAGTTTGGGCCGTGCCGCCATTTCATTCCGAATCAGGAAAGAACTACATAAGCGCAAGAAAGATGACTAATGCTTGCAGAAAGGCTTATAACAGAGTTTATATGGATATGATATTTCTTAAGGGTGCAAGAAATAATTAGCGATAGATTTACATCGTTTTTTGCCTAGTGGGTGTTTAGCCCAGTCAGAGCATCAAGCACCGTCACAGAAGCCCTTGACCAGAAATACTCTGGCAAACTGTCAGTACTATAGCCAGCCCCAAGAAGTTCGATCAGCTCATCATGGTGAAATGCCCACCCCTGGGGTCCTTGTTGGCGCTTGCTGCCCAACGAGAGCCAATTGACTTACCGTAAGCATCTGTACCGCTCTGCAGATTGACCAGCTGCACACGCGTTCATTAACCCGCTGTTTGTCTGCTAAAAATACATGTGGTTATTATTTAGGTTAATAAGTAGATGATAACAAATGTGTATACTTTATTTCACCGACAGCATAATGCAGTGTCAGTCACACACAGACTGTGCATTACACACTAATATTAGCCGTCCATGGGCTTGTGTTGCAATATCTCCGTGTGAGTTTGCCCATATATATCTTCTCAAAAAATGTTCTGCATCCCCAGCTTTACATACGTTATTTATATATGTGGTATATGTATGTCTGGCTACGAGAATTATGCTGAACTTGGCTCCGAAAACAAAAATGGTCATTCATCGTAACATTACAACTAACTGTAACTAGACAAATTAGATTAAGTGGCTTTATAACGCACGTAATTAATACGTCCCCTAAATCATTCTTTTACACGCTCTCGTATCCGACAAACTGTAACAACTGGGGTAAGCGACTGATGTGGCATTATTGTGGTCCACATCACAGACCAGCACTCCACCCTGTTATGGTGTCAATATCGCGTGAACCATTCCCATTCTATAAAAATATAAAATATAATAGATCAGAATCACTACATATGATAATAAGACAATGTAGCATGATGACATTCACAGACTACATCTATCTGTATGAGTGTAATAGCTAAATTTTTTGCTGCTTCTTAGTATAACTCTAACGTTTTTGCGTGTCTTTACGACGCCACAGGGGCGTCCATTTGTACACACTACCAGTAACTAGCGGTTTACTTCACGCGATAGTGCAGTGCCACAACGGTGTGGATAGTGGTGCCAACGAGAAATACAAGGATAGATGTCCTAGCCTTAGTGTGTATCGTCGCCACTCAGCTCCCTACTCCCCCACAAGCGCCTCGATGCTACGCCGCGCTCACATCCGTCGTGCCCAACTCCCCGAAACCGAGTTGTTCTCTTTACCTGGTGCTTGTCGTTAGTACAATTAGCCAGACCGACGGACCGTCACAGTGACAAACAGTGAACACAGACACAACACAGACACGTGGCGCACCTTAATGACGCGGGACTACTCGGAGATATTTAATTCAACGTGTTAGGGGGGTGGCGGGGCGGCAGAGTGGCTGACGGGACCGTCCCGGTACGGCCACCTCACACAAGGGACTCAGCACTCCAACCCCACGAGCGCCTAATGCTGCTGACTCGAGGTGGTAACATAATTAAAAGTACGTCACCGAACGTCCTATATAAGCTCCAGATTAAGTTCTCACTATTGTCCGTAGACCTATACGCCAACATTATTACCGCCTACGTTAACTGTAAAATTCAAGGACCCAGCACGGTGTCCGGAGATAATACGAGCATCTCGCTGTCTACTCACTATGCCTGATCTCATCGTCCCGGCTCCTTCCTCCCTCGGTTTTTTCCCCCCCCCCTCACGTCGGGTGCGTCTCCCTCTCGCATCGACCGCAGAGACGAATCGTCCCTCAGCCCGAGACAGGCCGCTTTCCAAACCTCTCCGTCTCTCGCTTCCTCCTCTCCGCTCTCTCTTCTCTAACTCTTTCCCCGTCGATATCTCCTCACCTCCTATCAATTCTCTGCACTTATTCTCTCCACTACCTATCTCCGCCGCTATCTCCAACTCACTCAACAACACTATACCACTATCTCCATTATGCCGCCGTGTTTGCATACGACTCGCTCTGCGTGCACCTACACCACTTCGTTTTCCCTTCACGCCTTCATCGCGTCTCTGCGTGCCCGCTCCTCTCTCGTCGGCTCTAGAGGGGATACACACCAGCCAACTCATATAGCGCAGCCCCCCATCTCTATCTTCTTTCTTAGCTCTCGTCGTCTCTCTCACACACAATCAGACACACACACACAGTGTCAAGCACACACACACACACACACACACACACCACACATTTGGCAACACACGCGGGCAATCAGCAGAGCGTCCCGTTGCGCATGCGCATGCGTGTGTGTCTATCGGTCTATCCAATAAGACTTCCAATCTTCCGAGGTCTATCGGACCTGTTGTCTATAGGTCCCTTTTCAATAATTTCACGGATCTTAGTCCGGACCTTCGGTCTATAGGGATGACCCGTTCATGCAGTTACATGATAAGTATACCCATTGAGTACATACAAAATGATGTTAGTAATTTCCTGTACTGCGCAACATTCATTGAATTCATCACTTACCATCTGTGGCTTGCTGCTATTCCTTTAGTGGAGATTGTAAAGTTATAAAAGTGGTGGTTGCTATATTTTGCTACAGGGGGCATTGGCGGTCTGCTTGTCTCAAGCACCGTTGCCATGGCAGTGCCATTCTGTGTTGGCAAAGTCATCGACATCATCTACACGAATCCGGGTGACCCAGAGATGCTTCAACAACTCACCAGCTTTGTACGATACTTGTGTCTGGCACTAGCTGTTGGTGCCAGTGGAAACTTCATTAGGGCATATATGCTCTCCACTGCTGGTAAGTTTCTATACAGGGCCGCTATTTAAACTTATGGCTTCTGCTCTGTGCTAATTTGTGCACCTCACAAATGCGTGCACATATTCTTGCTGCATTCGTTCAGTTGCTACATATCACTTTGTCAGCATGGTTGTAATCACTTGTGTATGTGCATGTGAATTATGTGATTATAACCTATTTCTATTTGTGTTGCGGCACTCCCTAGGCTGAGCAATTACAATCAGTTTTTACCCATGCATCATCTGATTTCAGATATAATTGTCAAGAAGATGAGCTAGTTATTTAGTTTTACGGCAGTGAAATTCCAAATTTCGGCTTATAGACCTGGTTGAATTCTAGCAGTCTAAGTAGATTGTATCATGTAAGGGTGACGAATGTGGGGTGAATGATGGAAGAAAAGTCAGTAATATAAGTAGGTAGGGGATATTAGAAGAGGGCATGTTAGGGAAGAGCACGATGGTCAGGTATTTCCAAATGGAGGCTTCTAAGAGAGAAGTTGTGTGTGACAATAATGTGGAGAACAATACGATTAAATTGCATATATCTGAGTTCATGTCCAATAGAAAATAGAAAATTTTGCACAGGGGAGAGATAGTGATCCACTAGGGGACGGCTCTGATTGGCTAATTTTGTCTCTTATTTATTTTTATTATTTTTGGCTAATTTTGTTTTATTTTAGAATTAGGGTTAGGGTTAGAATTAGGGTTAGGGTTAGGGTTAACTGATTTCTATATCCACAACACACTAATAATGCGCCATTTAGCAGATCACTAGCTATCTCTCCCCTGAGACCTACTAGAAAATATATGACCTTGACAGGGAGGTGTGAATGACTGGTGATTAATGTTTTTAGGTTGTTAGAGTAACAGTATAAATCGCATACTAGCTGGTGCTCTGTCCTTATCGAAGATCTTTCTTGGACGGCAGCAGGGGTGTATGAACAGGAAAACAGCAGAGCTCTGCCTGCATGTCAATAAATGTGAATACTGTGAATACAATAAAAAATAAATGTTCAACCCATATGAATCCTATACCTACGGTCAAACATGTATACCAGGGCCAATTAAAGAAACTCAAAAATTTGCCTTTATGTGCAGGAGGTCTTTCTATACAGGCAGGTGGGCATTGCCAATCTTTATCACACAGTCAATAAATAATATACACTAAACCCAAAGCTGGTATTCGCAGCTCAGCACACACTTCTTAGAAACGTGCATACAAGTGATATGTGACCAGTATTGGCGTTTTTGCGCAAATTTCTTTTTTACCTTAGCAAGGCACTCAGGCAGCTGATCTAGTAATCCCATTGAGGGAAATTTGGCTGGTGTGTGCAGTCCATGTTCGCTCACAGAATGCAAATTCGATCAGTGGCTGGTAGCAGGGTTTAGCTGGTGGCTGCTTTGTACGGTAGTTATGACACAGAATCTTTTAGTGCGATAGACGAGCAGCCTTTCTATTAATGTGGCCATATACACAGGTTTAACTGTAATTAAAGTTCTGCATAATATAAAGATACACGCGTGGTGGAGGGCCATATATACGTGTGCACACGTATCCATAAAAGACTAAAAATGTCAAAAAAAGCGAGTCTTAGCTGCTGATAGAGTATATGGTATTCATATTGATGTATGCATTCTTTGTGTAATTATAGTCTGGGCAGCACTTGGATGAAAAGGATGCATCACCTCAATAAAGATCTGTTGTAGTAGGCATGTGTACATGTGCCAGTCTGTCTCTGATTCAGGGCATCGTATTGTCAAGCGGTTGAGAGAAGACATTTTTGGCTCAATTGTCCGGCAGGAGATTGCATTCTTTGACCGGACTAAGACTGGTGAACTCATTAACAGACTGTCCACTGACACATTCTTGGTCGGACAGTCAATTACGCAGAACGTCTCAGATGGTCTGCGCTCCTTCACATCTATCTTGGCTGGAATTGGCATGATGGTAGGCAACATGTGGCAGCAGTGGACATTCTTCCATCAACCCTAAGAATTTTTCTGGTTCTGAATCTAGATTCTGTTAACATGTGCCTCGTTTACAAGTGATATAACTATGTGTAGTCACTAAACGTGTCACCTATACGCAATTTGACAAAACTGCTAACTTCAATTGAAAATGGTTATTATTGAGAGTAATTGTTGTGCGCATGCTTACTAATCAGAGATGTTTTTTATTTTCCATAACTTAGATGTACGTATCACCTCACTTAGCGGGGATCAGCTTAGGAGTCGTATCACCTGTAATGCTACTTGGTATTGGATATGGTCGATTTGTACGAAACATTACTAAGGAGACACAGGATGCGCTTGCAGAAGCAACGAATGTGAGTCCTATCCTCTTGTTGTTTTGCAAATGGTATTAATTATGGTAATGCATTATCTATCAGTGAATTGTGAGAGTGAGAACGGTCATTTTTGTGGTGCAGCTAGGTTTGGACCATTTTAATTATCTGGAAATACAGAATAAATGGTTATTTATTCGATAATATAAGTTAACCAAGAAGTGGGATAGCCTGGGTATGCGATTCCCATAGGCTTGAATTGAAAAAAACGTGGTTATGTTTCATGATAATGACTACACAGTTTGCTGAATACTTTAGAGATCACTCAATAACCACATCTACATTCTGAATAATCACACAGAAGCTAGTAATGGTTTTACATTCAGCGTCTGTTCGATGGTTTATCACTTTCCTCACACAAGCTTTTTGGACTACATCTGAGGGGGAGAAGCAGCTAGCTAGGAAGTAGCTATTTTGGTTTATGTGATTAGCAGTAATTTAGACTACATATAGCTGTTAAGCTATAGTAAACTAATGCATGACAAAACTGGCAATTACCAGCACTAAGTACCAGAAAATGTAATTCATCCTATAAGATAATGCTATCCTGAATGTGGGATCTTTTATTATGAGTGCATTATACTGTTGTATTGACACCATCACTGCGGTAATGTTTGGCCTGTTCTGCTCTCAGGTGGCAGAGGAGAGGATAAGCAACATCCGAACAGTGAGAGCTTTTGCACAGGAAATACGAGAAGAAAAGCAGTATGAGCAGCAACTTGGCGTCGCTTTAAAACTATACTACAAGGAGTCACTTTACAGATCGATATTTTACGCTTTCGTAAGTACTTGTGTATTCTAATCGTAGTCCCATGACCTAATTCCCATGATGTTACAGATTAGTTCATGCATGCTTATAAATAAATGAATAACGTGTTACACTCTGTTATTGGAAAGACTTCACAGGGATCAATTTTAATTGGTGATAATTTTGATACACTGTATTGTCTTAATAGTGTTCATAATAGTGTTAGAAGTGCTTCAAAAAACAAATATTGAATGATTATCTATAACCAGCTATATCTGTTTGCACCCTGAAACGTGCTTCCTTCATACTGCATGCTCATACTGACAGATGCTGTGATCCTGGTGTCATATGTGTTAGTACCCATCACCAACGAACCAGCCGGCAACTATACGATTGCTTGTACACAGCGGGTGAATTTGCTTGTAGGCAGGATTGTCCGGTAATGGCATCATAGTGGCTGTGCTCTACGCAGGGGGAATGCTGACCAGCAGCGAGCTAATCACCGTTGGTCAGCTCTCGTCGTTTATGCTCTACGCAGCCTGGGTCGGGCTGGCGATCGGAGGTAAGCCACTGGCTGTGTGCGCCGGTTAATAGCCGGGATTTCCTTTCCAGACGTTTATATGGGATAACTCTGTGGCGATCGTTCTGTTCAGCACTGGCTCAGTTCTGATATACAGTAGCTCTCTCACCGCTGGACGCTTACTGAGCTTCATGTACTATGCAGCATTAGTTGGCGATGGTTTTAAAGGTGCGTAGAGGGATGGAAAGCTGGTGTTCTATCGTTGCTGCTTTGGCTCGGTGCTCATTTCTGGTTGGTACTGTATCTATAGACATAATATGGTGGCATATTGCGAACAGTTGTAAAAGTGTGTTCTTAAATTTGTAAAATCATCATGGTGCCATGTGAAATTATAAAACTCAGTGAAACTCTTTTGTTTACATAAAGCTAGGGTACCAATATTTCCCCGATTTTTTCTCATATTTATTGAGAGTCTGTACCGTTAGAAGGTGTTATTGAACTAAAAAGATACTTATGATGAAGTTAAACCAAATATTGATTTTATGCTATTAGGAATGAGCTATTGGCATCTTCTGTCCTATCTAAGCATGCTCTTCTTTTGGTGGGTAAGCTTTGATAGAGATCTGAATATAATTCTGCATCAATTATGTGGTAACTAATGCCAGCTTTTCCATACCCTGTATGTACCTTTTGACAGCCTCATTTCATACTCATCATTCTCCATCTCTAGGAAGCTTCAACATTCACGACTTTCATTCACTCATTGTTCTGTCATATGTGTCTCACTCTCACTAGTTTTCTTTATGTAACATTTTAATTACTGTGATATTAATGCTAATTATTTAATTAAATATAAATCTCGGTTTTAAATCTGTGTGCAATGATCGAGGTAAGGTGCTATGTTAGTCGCGAGGTTATTTGTTTTCACATTGAACACTTGTGCTTTATTTTTTACAGTCGCTAAGTATACTTTACACTAGAAGTTTTTATACAAAATTAATGTCAATATATAAAATACAATTATGTCTTTATAAAAATGTGTAAAACTCGACACTTTCTTCAACAAAATATTGCTTTCTAGGACTGAGTTCGTTCTACAGTGAGCTCATGCGGGGCATTGGTGCAAGCACTCGGCTTTTTGAGATTCGTGATAGACAGTCACACATTCCACTAGATTGTAAGTGTGTATTTATCAGAAATCAGTATTTATCAGTAGAAATATCGAAACATACAACTAGGTGTATCTTTAAAGTGGTTCACATCTCAGTAGTAAGAGCCAGACTCGATGGAGTTAGTCGGTGCTACTTGTTATGCATGTGCTATGATAGACTGAGTGCACCTTGTAACAAACCTCCCAATACAAAGTAGGGACTTTCTTTTTCTTTCTTTTTGTGTGTGTACAATCTGAGCACCTATGTACTTATATGTGATGCACTGGTTATTAGCCGGGATTATTCCCAGCAAACCATTGCTTGGCGAGTTGGTGTTTGAAGACGTGAATTTCAAGTACCCGAGTCGCGAGCATGCGACGGTGTTTCACCATATGTCACTGATCATTCCTGCTGGCTCTGTGATGGCGATCGTTGGTTCGAGTGGCTCTGGAAAGTCAACGTTAGCCAGCCTACTGCTCAGGTTCTACGAGGCTGACGAAGGTAGGCATTTGTTTGCATGCACTCACCCTACATAAAGTGAAAATGTCTTCTGCTGAAGACCAGTGTCAATCATGATCTTATGGCAACTTGGGTCTGCCTGTAGCAGGCAAGTCCACTATACGTTTTAGTACATTTGTCTCTGCAGAGGCTTTTCTGATTTGTTTACTAAAAAATGTCTTGCTTTCCTAAACGCAGGTAGGATAGCTATTGACAATGAGGATGTGAAGAATCTGAATCCATCCTGGCTGCGTAGACATATTGGTGTCGTCAGTCAGGTATTGTGAACTTATTCAGGGGCGGATCTAGGGTGGTGTCCGGGGGGTCCGGAACCCCTCCCCCCCTTTAATCTCAAAGTGCCCTAAAAAAATTTATCCCAATTTTTTTAGGGCTAGTTTTTCTGATAAAGATTTACTTATATATATATAAATTCGTTATAAAAACCTAGTAATGGGCAAAGAGGGGTCCACGGGGCGTCCGGGGGACCGGATCTGATAAATTTGTTTTTCAACCTGATTTTATTGTTCGGGGTGCGATCCAGAGGTGAATTTCACTGTAGGATGACTTAAAGGATAATTTTTTGCTAAAAATTTGGAATTTCATCTTGCATTCTAGACATCAAAATTACTGCTCAGGTGCTCTCAGAATGCACAAATTTCAGTGCCTTCAGCAGCTTCGAAACCAAAAAAATTAAGCAAAAAAGTGCCCTTTATTTTTTCCTAAACACCCCCTTTCAAAAATCCTGGATCTGCCCGTTATTTTGTTTCTCTCACTCCACTGTTTTTGCCCTCTGTGCACCAATGTGTACATACATACCTACATACTTGAGTATGGAAGGAAAGTGTCATAAGCAATTATGTGGAATATGTGTCCTTAAAGAGCATGGTATTCTGTTTATATACAAAGAACTAACTGGAAATGCTCACTCCAGTAAGAAGAAATCTCATGCACAAAGCTTCCCTTTTTATTAAAGGAACCCATCTTATTTTCGACCTCCATTGCTGAAAACATAGCCTATGGATCACAGACACCAGAAAGTGTAACCATGGTGGATATCATCGAGGCAGCAAAACAAGCAAATGCATTCAACTTCGTGACAGGATTCCCAAATGGGTTTGATACTATGGTTGGGGAGAGAGGCCTTATGTTGTCAGGTGACTAACTGCACATTAGTAGCTATGCTATATGTTATGCCATGAATTGCTATGTGTATGCGTGCGTGTGTGTCACAGATTTGTGCACTACTTATTGCTTCAATAAATTATCCATGCTTGTAAGGTTGGTGTTTAAATGCAGTCTTCAAACCAAGGTGCTCAAAATTTTCTGCCATTAGCATTAATTGTTAATCGCGTGTTTAGCTAAGTGGCTTGCTGACTTCACTATCTAATTTCAATATAGCAAAACGGCCATGCCATTGTATGAATTTATGTTTCTAGGAGGCATAGAGTAGTTGTAGTAATGGTAGATTTGCATTGTAGTAGATTGTTTATCAGTTCATTACACACTAGTATAGAAAATGTTTTTATTTTGTTGCACAGGTGGACAGAGACAGCGAATTGCCATTGCAAGAGCTATTATAACGGTAATATTTGTGGCAGTTCTTATCCTTTTTGGATACCCGCACTTCTTTCCTATAGTTTGGTGGCCCATATCAGCCTCTGTTAGATTGCAAAGTAAACTGGGAATCACTAGAGATGCGTTGTGGGCCAGTTTTGCGTTAGGAACACAGGTATGAGAGGTAACAGAGAGAACAACTGTAAATATCAGTGCCTAGAAAAATAAATGCTGACCAATAGCTTCCCACAAGCAATGGTTTCTCAATTGTTTTTATCAAACAATATTTACTGATTATGCACACGAATGACCATTTATCATAAACATCAACTTAATGTGTGTAATGTTCCTGTAGTATCTCTGTTAATGTATTTTTTGCTATATTTTTTTTTAGAATCCAAAGATCCTCATACTTGATGAAGCAACAAGGTATTGTCAGTTATTTTTGTTGTCTATGGCATTTTCTCTACATAACTGTGAATAGAACAATATTTAAAGGGACAGTAGCCTTTAGGATTTTACTGCATACAACTGTACTTACTGTATAACAAATCGTCTATACCCACACGTATTTGTTACCAGATACCTAATTTAACTGTTATAATTAATTACACATCAACGCTACGAAATTTGAACGGCGCCATGACCCCCGCTACCGTGCTGCCACCCCGAAAAAGTTGCGTATTTTACAATTTATTTTGCACGTTACAGACCGAGGGCTAACCACAAAAGTGCAATTATGTTTATACATAAATGCTATTTAACCGAACGATATTCATTTTAGGGCAAATTTATCCATATTATAACTGAAACTATATGTCGTTTATAAGATATTACAATCCTTTTGCTTTTAAATGAATAAATAAGAAACACCCTCGGTCTGTAGACCTTGGCTGGAAAGTGGTTTTCTACAACTTATCAGATCGTGCGCTTTGAGTGGCGCCACCGTCGTTGTAATCAAACTGTAGTCGTTAGTTTTAAAACATTTTTTTTAAATATTTCTAATGGTGATTGAACCATGAAACTTTTTTATGTAGCGTTAATTATGACCTAAGTTAGCTGAAAATAACCCTAGAACCTAGAGTAAACTCTCCCTTTAAATATGTGTATATGTTGTCTTGATGTTTTTTTACTCACATTTTGTCAACGTAGAATACCACTCATTCATTGAGTTGAACATATATTCTCCTAAGGAAATTGTGTTGTTTGATGTTTTAATCTGCTGTTCATATAATGACATATGCCTGTAAAAAATTACAAAAAAAGTTCATCATCATATAGCACAGACAACAAAAATCGTTTCTTAACTGTGATGCAGTTGTAATACCATCTTATATTTTATCAGGAATCTATCAATTGATAGACTCCTGATTTTATCTTAAAATGCATGCAACTTTCACGATGCTGAACGATTGCTTGTGGATTGCAACTTTGCACCCTAACGTGGCCTTTTTTTCCATTGGCTTCCTTTCACCACTATATGGATCCATGCTCGTGTTTTGCAGTGCATTGGATGCAGAAAGTGAATATCTTGTACAGGAAGCACTGGAGAGACTCATGACTGACCGTACCACACTCATCATTGCGCATCGCCTGTCCACAATCCGTTCAGCCGATAAGATAGCTGTACTAGAGAGTGGTCGAGTGGCAGAGCTAGGCACATACCAGGAGCTAATAGACATCCCAGATGGTATTTTCCACAAGCTTGTTGAACGGCAAACATTAGTCGAAAAAAATTGAAAATCCTATGATAGCATTTGCTATTAGACGTAGCTGTTCACCAACCAGATGACAGTGTGAGCTCGTAGCATGTGGAAAGTTTAATTGCTTAGGCTTCTGTGGTTCTCTTGGCATCATCTCTACCACAGATAAAGAGTATTGATGAATCAGTGTTTGCAAAGCCCAGTCATTCGGTAATTATTTATACTGCCTGTTCTGTTGTTGCCTTCCGAGGCTATAAGTGCTACACGAGTGGCAAGCAGATAGGTAGGAAGTACTTCTGTCGGCCACTATACTTATTAGTAGAAGTATACGAATTGACATGTCTTCATGTACTACTTGTTGGTCATTCTATATTCATGCTCCTACTCCTAATAACTACTTGCTTATTTCTACTGTCCTCATTCTATGCTCCTGCAATTACTGCATATAGTACACAATCATAAAGTGCTGTAACAGATCTCACAGATGTTGATGATGCAATGCTCCTGTTATAAGTATTTATCTTATTATTTTGCATGCTGGAAGAATTTACAAGAAATGTTGCTGGTAAATAGTCATACCCGTATCAGCTGGGAAGAGGCAAATAAATATATAATACAAGTAGATACAATATGTATCTACATTTCTTAACTGTGGTCACTCCAGCAGGTATAGTGCATCTGTATAGTAGTCCATAGTTGGAGCCACCTATACACTGCAATTTTACTATTTTGTTAGGGATGGTGCCACGTACAATAAGAAATAACTAAAGAATCATTAGCACAGTCATTTAGATGACTAATAATTTTATACATAAATATTTTATGATGATATAACAAATTTGGTGCATGTATTTTATGTAAAGTAACAAGAAAGTGATATGAATAAAAATGTCGTTTGTTTTTAAAATAAAGATTTTAATCAACATTGGTTTTGTTTTATTTTTTGGGTCCTAACAATATTCATATTGAATGCTACCAACTCACTCAAAATCAGTAAAGTAACAAGGCATAATGAGTTATTCTTTAGTTAAATACAGAATATAAACAATAATGGGGCCATAGCTCTTTTGTAACTATGTAACTCTCAAAGAGTACATGCTCCAATCTACATCGTAAAATCTACCTCGCAACAAAAAGCCTATATAGACCTACTGTGAGCATACCTGCAGTGAGCATACCTGCAGTGTGCAAACATCACGAAATGTTCTCATTGAGCCAGAGAAGTGCTACAAACATTGGGATTTTCAAAATCATGTTGGACGAGGTAATGTCACACAGCTAGCAGTAGTCCTACGCTAGTGGAAATAGTTCCTGGAACGAAAACACTATATATGTTTCCTGATTGCATAAGTAATATAGATAATGATATGACTTAAACAAATTTCACAATTTTGTAAACATCGAATAATGAATTATAACTTGTTTTATCATAGAACATACAACTGTTAATTAATCGAGCCGATTGCTCCGCTGTGTCCCGGATGTGTAAACATCACTGTGGTGCTACTTTCGGAAGAGAAGTAATTTCGTTTAGATTTTATGAAGAAACGTTGCGAACGTGGCAATACAAATAAGTTGTACTGAATTTTTGCAACATAGGCGAGCTCACAGTAGGTATATATATGCATCTAGCTGCGAGGTTTATCCACTTTAAAACAATTCAAAGCCAAACTGTGCCTGAAGCTATTAATATCCATTCAATACTGACTTGCCACTAACTCTCATAATTACACTAGTTTAGCCACATGGTCACTCATCTATATGCTCAATGCTGTGACCTATACTTGAGCCAGCGCATGTCGACCCGCTTTGCAGGTTTTGCCATCACTGTCTGGCCCCTCATGTAGGACTGAAGGGCTTCTGGTATCCGCACACTGCCATCCTCCTGCTGGTAAGTTTCTATGATGGCGATGAGCATGCGGGGCACTGCGCAGGCTGTCCCATTCACTGTGTGCACGTAGACCTGCTCGCCTGATGGCACCGAGTAGCGAACGTGCAGCCGCCTGCTCTGGTAGTCCGTGCAGTTTGACGTGCTCGACACTTCTCCGAAGCACCCCCTGCCTGGCATCCATGCCTCTATGTCATATTTTCTATATGCGGCCGCACCGAGCTCATGCGACGGCATGTCGAGCACGACGAAGTGCAAGCCGAGGGTTTTGTACAGCTGCTTCTGTATAGAGAGCATCTCATCTAGCAGCTTCTCGCTCTCGTCTCCCGCCTCCGCAGCCGTCACACCGAACATCTCCACCTTCGTGAACTGGTGCACTCGGTAGAGCCCCTTCTCGTTGAGCGAGTGTGACACCTCGGCGCGGAAGCAACGGCTCACGGCCTGCAGCTGGCGGGGAAGACTGTATAGCGGGAAGCTCCTGTTTGCGTGATAACCGGCGAGCGCCATCTCGGCAGTGCCTGACAGCGCGAGGTCACGGCCATGTCGATTCTTGTCGATGTGGTAGACCTGGGATCGATCTCCCGTAACCGGCATCCCGCAAGCGTCAATCACCTGTGGGTGAAGCAGGTCAGGCACGGACATAAGCACGTAGCCCTTTGACTTTAGGTGATCGACTGTGAACCGGGTGAGTGCCGACTCCATTTCAGCAAAGCTGTTTTTCAGATAGTACGTTCTTGGACCCGTTAAATTCCCGAGGTTGTCCATGCGCAGCCCATCTAGGTCCTTTGCTAACTGCTCGAGTGTCTTGGGTTGGAATGCGAACGTCGGTTTTACGCCGCATGTCTCAACGATACGAGGCATTGCATCCTCACTTAGCACAACATCGGGATGAGTCCTGTTTGGAATCACGAGGGCCTCTTTGTTGAACTTCTCAGTAAGTTCATTCATTCTCTTCTCAGTGGATTCCCGGCTATCCTGCGTCATTAGGGACTTCACCATTTTTTCTCCCAGCTGCTGTATCTCTTCGTACAATTGCTGCAGTAGTGTGATGTTGCCAATGCCTTTTCTCGCAATGATATTGCGCTCGATTTCTTCAAGATTGCTGGGTTCACACAGATACTCGATATCTATGTCAGGTGGATCCAACAAAACGCCATTCTTCTTCCTACAAGCCCACACTTCCTCATCATCGTAATAAGTCTCATTACACAATGAAACGTAATGTTTCGGCTTATGCTGACCATAGGCACATGAATTTGATCCAAGCAACTCGGTGTCTGTAAAAAGTGGTTGGTTGCTTCTACTCCTGCCACGTGTGTGCTGTGCATTAACTGTGGAGTTATTAGGACCCAAGCCTTTCTCACACTGTTTTTGACTGCAGTCCATCACAAACATACGGCAGTTTGCATTCCACAGCTTCCTTATGTTCATAATGAAGCTAAAGTTTCCCATCCCCGAAATTTGACAAAGGTTTGCCATGTCTTTTACTAGTTACTGCAATGTACGTTTTCAATAGTTGTAATCGTTCAGTGTATATGGTTACCAGAAAATCAAGTTTAGCTTTTCCCTTGATCTTTTTCGTTCTGTTCTTCAGTCATCTACAATGTAATAAACAAAGTTGTAATCAATACTTTGGCCAACAGGTAACATCTTGGTTCTAGGAATATGGACGAACAATTAAATTTTTAAAAGGTACCTATTTACAGTTATATACAGATATATATAGAGAAGTAGGTCACCTGTATTTTACAAGTGCTTAGATTTATACCACAAATATTTACAATACAAACCCCTTTCAGCTTATTTTTAGTATCTTGCAATGTCCATTCTTGTTTTTTCTGACCATACCAATTAACTGTCATTATCTTCTTCTTTTCTGAGTCACCACTATGTTGCAGTGCATATCTTTCAACTGAAACCGATCGAAAAACAATAATTATTTCCTAAATTAAAAATTATGTGCTTCAGCATTAGGGCAAATTTCTAGAGAAAGGGGCACATTTTTCCGTCCTGTCCTGGCAATGAGAACAGAATGCGAAGTCGAAGAGAATAAACATAGGTCAGGATAAGATTACAGGGTCACTGAGGGTGTTACAAGTGTACTAATGGATAAATCATTTTGTGCTGGTAATAAAGTGGCATTAATTATATTTACATTAGGGATATTACATTAGAGATACAGAGATTTTATATATCACTCTTTGTCTTACCGGGCCTTAATTGTTTCACGAGTTTTAGTTCTTCTGCTCCAGTTCTTTCACCGTCGCCTGAACTGTACGCATCTGCCTCCTGTATCTTCTTAAACTTCCCCGACCACTTTAGATAGATTAGTCCACCGAGAGCATTCCATGCAAATATTATATACATCCACCGAAGCCTTCTTTCCCATTTGTAACCTGTATCAAGGTTGAATGGGTTTAAAATACTTCTTTTTGGTGGTTTATATAACATCATTCACAATGATTAAAATACTACGTCTTCATCATATGGGCGCAGCCATGCTTTCACCTCGTTCCCAGAGTTCTTTGCGTGCAGCAATCAGCATAGACGGTTACCCGGTCCCACCTCTCGGCTTAGTTAAACGATGGGATAGGGGAGTTACTCGAGTAATCGAGGTGGGAGCGAGTACCAGTCTACAATAAGCAAAACAAACTCCACGACAGATGGCGCTCTCGCTCATGGGCTTATAATACTCTCTGTGAATATTGAGTTTATCGACGAACGATTAGTCAATATATTAGCTCTGATATATATGAGTACCGTAAATATATACCTGCAAATATATGAGTACCGTAATCTCCCGTACCGTCTTGAATATATAGACACCCCCTGGTAAATTGAGCCCATGAGCGAGAGCGCCATCTGTCGTGGAGTTTGTGCCAGACCGTGTGCAATCAGAGCACGGCAGAGCACATGATCATATTATTGTGTGTA